CGGCCAACTGCTGTTGTGAGCATTCTTAGAGAAGCATACATGTGATTCCGGAGCAGCCCAGTGAAACAAATGTGATTCTTGTGATCGACGGAATGTGGCGACCCCATCAAGCATTGAGTCGAGCAGCTTGGACGTGCCTGCGGCTTAATGTGCAGGTTTGGAATCGTCTCAACCTCCAACATCCTTGTGATTGTATGCCCTAAGGAATTGCGTATACATCGATCAGATTGTTTAGCAATCCCAAGATTTATCACTTGGAAGGTAGAAACGCACAACACCATCCATGCATGTGTGCGCGGCTAGGGGCATGTGTGAATAGGGAACTCCAGTGGGCAGAACAACAGATGCCCGAATGCCCCTTTCATCCTTGCCGCTTGGTAACGAGGACAGACACAGAAGCCCGGCATCATCAGATAGGTAGTGAAAAACTTTCAGGAACAGTGCGGGCTACAATTGCTGAATTGTAGCCCGCACTCAGTTGAACTCGGCGAGAACACTTATGCAGAAGAACGCGTTCATTGCCTGAAGCATTCACAAGCTGGCCCGAAACACCTACTCGGATGCAAGACAGCCCCCAAAGACCTTAATCGCCTCTATGAAGCTTCCGCATCGATGACAAATTCAGACACTTCTAGCTGAATTCTAGTGTAGTAAGCGCCGTCGCACCCATGCCGCGACGGCAACCGGACATTCACGCGGTGCTGGCGGCGACCCCAAAATCTGACCTGAATCTGCAGATTTCATTGTAACCCAGTGCCAAGCGAAGGGAAGGTATTCGAACAATTATGACAACGTAGCGGCAGGCCGATGGGCCACTGCTAAGTGGCAGGCTCTACAAGCTATGGGCTTTTCGTTCCGCAATATTTCATCCGAAAGAAGCAAGCTCCCACTGGTTCGGCTCTGACCACGGATCAACATCCAGTGCGCGGATCGCAGGGGTTGGACTTACATCATTGCCGAAGTCCGCCAAATCAAGCAAGATAGCCCAAAACCTGATCAAATGGCGCTCTTACAACGGCGCTTTCCAACTTACTGTGGCGCAAGGGCAAGGTAACAAGTTCCACTGCCAGTTGTAAGCGGTTTCAGGGCTTTCATGAAAAAGACGGTAACAAAGTGGTAAAAGCATCTCTCGTTAGTGAATCAGCTTCATAAGAAGGCTGAAGCGGGCTCAAAACTCCACGACAATTACCCTTGGGGGCAGGTGCTTCCTGCCAAGGTCTTGCATCGTCATGGCCCACAAGAAAACTGTGGCTGCAAGAGGCCCGCAAGAGGGCTCTTGTGAACTTGTTCAGATCGTCGACGTTTGCTAAGCTCGGTCAGTACACGGATACCTTGCAAACAATTGTAAACGGCGATTCTCCAAAACAGCTGGTCTCCATCAAGCCGGTAATTAAAGGGCCAGCTTGCACTGCAAAGAGTTGTATCTCTCTTATCCCAAATATGTGGATGCCACTCCCAACCTAACCACCATCAGAATGGCGCAATGAGGAGAACATCCAGGCAGACCAAACGGCAGAAAATGAAAGCTTGGCGATGACAACCCAAGCTTTACGCTTGAGCCGAGTGCCATCTTGAGATGACTCATTTTTGTAGAAAGGGACTCGAGCGCGTCCAAAGGCTTAATCCACATCATATGAAGGTATAAGCTCCAGAACGTTGGATGGCATCCCCAGAGAGGGAAAGCTGGTGTGAGACGAAACAGCTCACCAATTTCATTATCATCATGGCCACGGAAAAAGCGGAGATGGACTTTCCACTACAACTGCTCCGAAAGCCGACCGTAAATGCGCGAATGCAAAACCTATTTCAAAGTAACCTCAGCGACGGAACTGGAAGAGGAGGGAAGCGGATCAGAATCAAAGGCGCATGCCCGCTTCCGACCGTGCCGGACTCCGATCAGGCGTTCTAAGAACGACAGACTGTGAGCAATCATGAGCCCATGTCCGCAAAAAGCCGGTTGAAACAACGACGTGTATGAAAGTCCCCACGTTCTGAATATATACCTGTTGCTCTAACCGTTGATGGAACCGCCGCAAATCTTTCCCGCACACATTGCCATTGGGTGATGTTGACGCCCCAGCCGTTATGAGGCACATAAACTCGTTGCCAAAAGCAGCACACGCTAGACGCGTTTAGCGGAAAGAAGACATAACTTCGTAGGCTAGGCGGTGTCAATTGCCCGTTTCGGATCTGCCGCTTGGGCGATTAAGACCGAAAGCACGGGGTCAGCCGGTTAATTGCCGACCTTTTGCAGCTGTTTTCGATCCCCCGGAGTTCCCGCAACTGTATTTGGACAACTTGAAGCATCTGGAAATTCTGAAGCGTGGTCATCAGTGCAAACGAGGGGCCCTTATAAGCAGAAAAAAGAAACGGGCGGGCTCTACAGATCGCCAACGTGTGAGACGCCTTCAACCCTTGAAAGATGAAAGCAAGCGAGTGCCTTGAACTTCAACCTACGTGGCGACACCCTTAAAAGTGCGCGCTTCGATGCTACTTGTAACTCAAGGCACCGGCTTAGGCGGGAGTACCCAACGACCCGTTGAGCTACACTCATCAAGGAGGACCTTCCTCATTGCCCTGTAATATTTTTCGAAGCATTCAAGCATGGGGAGTGAGGACGCCTGAAGCCAAAAATTTGCATATCGACTCCAGGGAGGTCATGCAGCCCGTGGCAGACGTCAGAAGTTTCCAGACATAGTAAAGCAAGAACAACGTAGAGCAAGAAGAGCTAGCAGGATGAATTGGAAGACCTATATATCTAACGAGGCGGCCGACCATTAGCCCAGTCGCCCGTTTCTTTCTCGGTTGGTACTGGTATTAGAATGAAAGCACAGCCGGCCGGACTCCTTGTTGAACGACTTCGCGCGACGACAACATTATCACCAGATGCATAACGAAGTGTTGTTGGAATTGACGAGGAGGCGATTGCGAAAGAAGACGTGTTGATACCCTGTCAATCTCGCAAGCAGACTGAGAAATTTAAGGTGGCAGACTACAGCTTCCTATGACGACGTCTAAAACAACAACTATAAAAGAGCCTTCGTGTCGACGACTACACGACACGCTCTGGATTAAGTGAGCACCTTGGAAATGCTGCAGCAGCCGATCCACTTCCTCCAAGGTAAGCTGATCGTTGCCCCGGTGCTGGCAGCAAATAGTAAGATTTAGCCGGCACTTACAACAAGGCGCTAGCAAAAGCTGCTCAGAGATCAGAGCGAAGCTCGAGGCGGGATTCAAACACAATTGCGGGCAGGCGCACCACCGCGGCCAATTGGCAGCCGGATTCCAAAACTAAGGTTTGAAGGTTCTTGTTTTGATTGAGAAGCTCCCCTTGCCTTTGGGTATCGGCTCCGACAGGAGAGTTTCTGCGCAAAGCAATTGAACACACAGCATCAACGATGTCATGCCGTCTCATCCCCGACAGCAAGTGGTAGTCTCCATGCCAAGACATAGTGTTCTGCAATTTAAATTTATTGGTTGGCAAGCGTTGCGGGACTAGCCTACGAGAACCACACATCAGGGTTGAACCGGAGCGGTTTTTCACCTAAGCTATGCCAAGTTGTGATGGATCAAAAGCAACCGTCTGCAATTGCGTGGCGTCAGAATCAAAGATGGAGCGTGTGAACAGCCTTTAGGCAGACATATCTCTGCCACTCAACACTTTCAGTCATTTTTGCAACTAGAAAATGCTACGCCTGCTTGCTAGCAATCTTGCCGCCTCAAAAAGCCCCCTTGATCATCGACGAGCCGGAGCGTGATTTGAAGAGCTGGTCGCTGGAGTGATATCGCAGCACGGAAACAAAATTTGGAAAGCCAGTGTCGTTGCAAGGATCCGTAACGGTTGTCCCGAGTAGCTTAGATGCCTACGGCTAATAGTGTGCCGGGTCACGAGTCTTGCAGTTGGTACAGCAACCAGTGGGCTAGCTGATTGCGCATTCACAAGGGTCACAAAATCGTCACATACACGGAAACCTGACAGATTCAAAAGCAGAGACGCTTGCAGACGTGATAAAAGTCCAATGCCTACGCAGGGAACAATCATAGTGTCAAGTTCGGCCAGTGATCCAAGACAATTAGTTTGTGAGCAGTTGTAGTTGTCTTTTTAAACGTGCAACTACTAGGCGGCCAGCTTTCGACGCTGCTTGGCTCCACAAACAACGGTGGAGCCACCGGAAGGGGGGCCTAGCTCCTAATAAGAGAGGTTGAGTCTGGACATGGTTGCAAGCAATCAGCTAAGGCCAGTTGTCTCATACATCACTTTGCGGCATCACACAATTGAAGATCGGAGAAGGTTCGGGTAGCACAAGTACATGCCCGACAAGTCCATCCGCTCATTGCCACTTTGGACAAAACAGCCCAATCAAAGTTACCCGCCCACTTGAGAAACATACCCCGTCTTTTTGCGAATTGCCCGCAGGGCAGATACGGCGACAGGTGTCATGAACATGCAGCCAGACTGATGCAAGGGCCAGGCAGGGGAAGTCGGTGTCGCAAACAGGTGTAAGTGGTCTTGTCTGATCAATTTCACGACCAGGACGACCTAGCAAACACAAATAGATGAATCGGTACAATGGCACACCTTCATAGAGCATATTGTAGACGATGGTGAGAATGGACAAAGCTACCTGTAATGACACCTTACAAGCGGCGGTTTTTGGTCCAAAAATGCAGTGTTGTCGCCACAGAAACGGGTCATCAGCAAAATCATCTGGCGACGGATGTCTGAATCGTGGAAGCAGAATAATCATGTGTTTTGCTAGGCTGTCATCAAACAAAACAAGCGAAGTACACGAACGTTTTGCGCGGCAAACTTCCTGCTGACGAAAAAGTTAGTCAGCACTGCTCAACACATACCGAGTCTCTAAACTGGCCGCCAGTGCTTGCAAAAAGTCGGAAACTTCCAAATCTGCGGTGCTTGTCCGTGTATGACTGTGTCTTAACGATCTGTCTATCATAGCCCTCCAGGTTAGTGTTTCCGACGCACGAATGGGACCCCACAACTATAAGCCACCCGCGTGCCTCACTTGCTTAGTAGAACCCCTCTCCAGGTGGGCTAACGCAGACCGCCAGCAACATACAGGCTCGCGGGCAGTGATTGGCGGGGAACACACCTGGCAGAGAGAGGGGATAAATGAGGGAGATATGACTACATCAGCACGTTGTTCTGCACATCAACAAGACTGCTGCTTCCCCGAAATGCGATGGAAGGCTGATGATAAACATACGCCGACAAGCGCATTGCGCTTCTTTTCTATGTCATCAATTGCAAGGCTTCAAGAAACGTGCACAAAGTAGAGCGAGTAGAATGGAAGATGCGCAAAGAATAGCTTGGGCGCCGATTTTTCCAACAACTTCAGCCCAATTGTCCGCATGCCAAGTCTAAGCGAGACGAGTTGCAGCCAAATATGCCGCCCGTTTCTCACCTTCGCAACCAGGTTAGCCCTCCTACGAACGCCCGCCCAGACCGCTAAGCGTCCTGGCTCCTAATGCAGGTTGATCCGCTCAGGTGATTGCAAGAGGACGCAACTGAGAAAATAGAAAAGGGCGTCAGAAAATGTTGCATCAGCCTTTGTTTGCAAGGATTGGACACGTCCTTCCCGCAGCTAGATGAGTGTGAGATTAGCGTAGACATTGTCAAAGCTGAATCGTAGCATACTTGCGAGCTATCTTTTGTATGGTAATACCCAAGACGTGAAATCGCATCAACCCGCTCTCCAAACGAACAGTGACAGTCATTACACGCCTTAATCCCTCGACGGTATGCGAGGTTAACCTCGTAGAATTCAACAAGGAGTTGCGAGATGGCCATAAGGCAGTTTCCGCGCCTGTCATGCCCACGTGGTAGCCACACGTGGAGTTTACGCGCGTGGCGACCCGATGCCGAGTTTTCGCATGATTGAACACTGGTTCGAATGTTCAGATTGTGAATTGAGCATCGGCTTCAGTACGTACCCCAAATCGACTATTGAGCGGAAGCTCAAGGAAGGGACCTCATCATAGCCTCGTCGTACACTCGATGTACATGACCATGTAACCGGTGAGGCAGGCCCTAAATCCGTACCCTTTGCTCGAGTATATCGGGTGTGCAGAAGTTACTGCTATTCAAGTCTACAAGACAGTTGAAGCAGCTTTCAGCTAAACATTCAAACATGGGCAGGCAAACCGGTGTCGAGAGAACATCTCATCCTTGCCACCTGGCAAAGAGAAGGAAAGCGCGGGGTCGACTCTTCGCCCAAATTGAAAAAGGTTCCGCACCGACAGCAATGTCGCTGAATAACACGTAAACTGGCCAAGTGCAAAATGGACTGGACAGATTTCTTGTAAGCTATAAAGAACGGACATCCGGACAAGAAAGGGGATGAGCCAAACGTTGACGAGCAAACCGGCCGGCTCGTCGAGATTGACATTAAGTGGATTGCCCATGATAACAACGGTACGCAAGCACTCTTGCCTTAGACACGTGGCCACAGGACGCCTAGTTAGTCGCCTCTCGACAAGAATATAAGATGCTAAGACGTGTATCGGGAGCATTGGCTTAATTAAGCGGGTTGTCAAACAATCTCACGTGAGCGCAGCACAAGGGATGAACCTCATCATGGCCATGTACTTCTGAAAATGCATACCGGGCGAGACATCCAGATTACTAAACCTGTATTCAAGTACTCTTATATAGGGACTTCAATAGTCAACTCCTGAAAAACCACTCGTGGCTGCGCGCAAAGGAGCCCCGGAGACACTTGGTAACTTTATGGCTAACAACATCCATTTGCACAGCCAGAGACGAGAGTCGAGAACTAGTGCGAATAAACGGCGTCGGATCGAGCAAGGATCTGTTGGCTGGGGTGCCTTACGGCGCTCGGGCTGTCACTTGCCACAAACGAAAGGGAGACTGCTTGAAGAGTGAAGGTACGTTTGGTAGTGTTCACCTATGCTGGCGGCTTCAGACAAATGTTGAAGAGATGATTTTGCGCTGAAGCCCTAAAAACACACTCGTCATTGCCGTTTATCTGACACATCCTTTGTAAAAAGTCTTCAAACGACTTCCAAAAGAGTCACTAAATGGGGCGGCTTTGAGTTCACGTTTAGCGAACACACAAAGCCCTAATCTCGCCACAGATGACGGGCGCTCACACAGATCTGTAGACATGAGAGGTTTCATATACTGGAAAAGAAATTGTACACATCCAGACCAACTTGGCAAGGAATTACTAATCAGACTCGTGGGCTGATTGTTTCAAGAATCGCTGCTTTCAATATCCGCTTTTTGCAATCCACATATGGTGATCGGGGGATATGGTGGAAGCCACAGCCACCGCAGGCAGATTCAAATGTCACGGCCGCGCAAGCTAAGTGCATGAAACGTCTTTGATCAGGTCGATACCCATCTCAAAGTTCAGTCTCATACATGCAACCGCAATGGGCGAAAGTACCTGGCGGCATATGCTAAAGGCAAAACCTGAAGCGGCCTGGGTGAACTCGCGGGTGCGGCCCAGTCGCCCACATCATCCTTGCCGCTTGGTCCCAAGAACAAACTTGAAACCGTTTTCCCAAATTTTCTAGATCAAGGAGTCTCTCAAAAAAGAAGCAAGTGTCTCAGGGTTCGAAAACAATCAGGTTTTTGAAAGCTCTGGACCCCAAAATAAACCATTGCAAGCATTAACCAGGCACGATAGGTGAGTTGCGGATTCGCTGCATTCCAACGACTCTCAAAAGTTCACAGAGCAATGCTCTCAACGGATGGCTCCTTTGGACCTGACCAAACGACGAGTCACAGTTGTGCGGTGAAGCAGTGACGGTACAAACGGTGATCGCATGCTCACTTGTGCAACAAAGACGGATGAGAGCAAAACGGAACCGCTTGTCCGAATGACAGGGTAAACAACTTGAAATTGGAGCTGGCTTCGAAGTCTGAGGGACAAGAGATTGATGGGCCCGGTGTTCCCTGCCCCGTCCCCTTGTCGTCCTGGTCGACAAACGCCTGTAACGCTACGAGAGGACTCATGCGCCTGTGTTCCAGAAATCGACGAGTCGACAAACTTGTGCTTGAATGAGCTTTAGCACCCGCTAAAAGGAAGAGAAAGGCGCACGTTTGCATGGCCAAAGTAGAGGTTTGCAGCACTTCTTCTAATCTTGTTGTTATACTAAGGGCCCGACCCCTTAACCAGGGTCGAAGCTGCCTTTAGAGAATTTAAGAACGCGACAAAATGCGCTCTAGCACAAAGGCGGCTGATATCTGGTACTACAGATTTTGCGAGCAATTTGCCAACTTTTGATAACTCGAACGGGTTGAAGCGCTCTTAGAGTAGTTCCATCTCAAGAAGATGGGGGTCAAACTTACGCAAAGACGAATTGGCTTCTGTGACACTGGTACAAGTGAGTTTGAACACCTCACCAAATTTGTTCTCATCATTGCCACGGAAGAACCCAATGAGCGAAGACTGCGGATTGCACGTGCTATGAACTGCGCACACTACATGATTAGAGACGAATTTTCAAGAGAAAGGCTCATTCAGCGCCTTAAAACTCAGAGGAGAACGAATGCAATTCAAACTTTAAAAGCGCATGGACGCTTCGGCCCAGGCTGGACAATATCATGTTATTATGCAGATGACTACTAAATCAGGAGCGCTTGAGCAAGTGACAAATCGTCCCGTGTCCTTGCAAGGGACGGTTATTTACGTCGCCGGCAATCAAGAACCCGTCTGTGAGCACACTGCCCCCGTTAATTGCGCGCAACCGTTGACCAGCATCCAACGTTGCTTAGCTTCACGGTGGTAGCCACCGGAAGGAGGTGCTCAATGCGAAGATGGTTGCAGCTTCAATGGACATGCATGGTGGCAGGAGACCAGCTAAGGCCAACTCTCTGATAGAATGCTTTGCGGCATCACACAAAGGAAAGAAGGGAGCTTTGGGTAGCACAAGTGGGCCCCGACGGCTCCCTTTGCATCATCGCCACTTTGGTCAAAAAGAAGAGCGCCCAATGGAAGCTACCCCCCAAATCGACAACAAACCCCGTCCTTTTGGCGGATTCCCGCAAAGCAGACGCGGCGTCGGGAGTGAGAACGTGCAGCCAAACCGATACAGAGGCAAGGCCAGGAAGTGTCGGTGTCGCAAACAGGTGTATTTGGTCCCGTCAAGTTCGAATTCACGACTTGAATAACATGCGTACACAAAAGGATCAAGTGTCAAACGGCACGTTTTAAGAAGCAGGCTGAAGACAATGGTTTGCAGTCAAATAGAAGCGAACTGTATTGACACGTCACAAGCGGCATCACTGTGACGGAGCATGCTTTGCTGTTGGTATACAAATGGTTATCAGCAGATAATCTGGGGACAATCTCACTCGGGAACGTGAAATGAGTTTGTGTCAAACAGGCTGCCATTGATAGAACGGGTGAACTACATGGCTGTTGCACACGCAATCTTCTTCCGAACCAGGAAATACACCCCTCAGCACAAATAACCTTCCTCGCTTGGCCTTTTCTTGCGAAAATAGTGTAATCCCTAACTTACGGTGGTGTTACCTGTATGACCGTGACTCGGCAATCTCTGAATCTTGAACCTCTGATCAGCATTTGCGACGTACAGATGTCTACGGCCCGATTTATGTGCGACCTGTGGCTTACTTGCTTGGTAGAAAGCCCTCTCCAGGTAGGCCGTCGCCGACCGCCAGCAATGTGTTGGCTCGCAAGGCGAAACGTGAGCAGTAGTTGGCACACAACTGGCAAGAGAGAACGAGTTGAGTGAGAAATGACAACATCAGCACATAGATCCGCACATGAACAAGACTACTGCAACTCAAATCTCCAATTTAAAGATCATTCAAGGTAGACAAATGCGTTCCGCTCTTTTTGAGTGTTCAAAATCAGGAAGGGAAAAGAGCAAAAGTGAAACACAATGTGAAAACGTCCAAGAAGTATGGTGGACAGACAGTCCCAGCTCCCTAAACGCTCATATGTGCGCGGAGCTGAAGCATCGCAACAACGGACTTCCGCATGCCTCATGAGGCATGGCCCTGAATTTGAGTGTCCGATTTGCAGGGCACGGCAAGCACGAGGACTTAGGCTCCGCCAGGTGGCAATAGGTTCAAGTTACTTAACCTTCGCATGAAAATCCCTTGCTCTTCAAGCATAGGCATCAGCTTCGGCAAATCCACACAGAATTCTCCTGAGCTGCGCTCAAGAATTGGACCTCATCATGGCCGTGCAAGATCCAGCCTCCGCTAACCATGAAAGCTTTGAGGACCGCATGTTAGCAAAAACTTTCTCCGTTGGTCTGTCATATCTCTTGTAGGGAGTATGTACGCCAAGAAACCGTGCAGGTAGCCAAGACAAACCGAACAGCGCTTGACCGCAAAGTCGTACAAATTTGACACCAAACACACCAGGTTGGTTGCGGACATGCGGCATCAGATGGTTCCCAGCAATCGGTGAGCTCCCTCAAGGCACTCCATTCCTTGCCACCAACTAGTGGGTTGCAGCGGATGACGGAAAGAAAACCAGTGGTACAGTCGACAAATGATCGTGGACGCTGGCGCGTTTAAGAAACCATCACTCGTCCTTGCAACAAGCGCAAGAGTCTGATCACCATCTCGTCATATAGTCGCAGACATCAAGACGTCATATCAGGATGCGATTTGAAAGAACAAACGGGGAGTCACGAAGCAAAAGGCCGGTGATCAAAAGCTCCCAAGGCGAAAAACGCAGCCCAAAACCCAAAAGAGAATCTACGCATTACCGCACCCCGAGGTTTGCGGGAGAAATGAAGCCCCCAAGGGTAAACGGTAAGCGGTTTGTTTGCAGCACTTGATGAAAAAACTTCTTTGTTGAGCAGGAGTGTTGGACCGTCCGGCTGATTTGTATCCTAAACAAAGCCCCCTTATTCGTCTGATAGACTGCAAAAGAGTCATCCGACTCTGAAGGCAGCGAGACGAGGAGCTACAATTCAGATTTGATTCGAATGAGTCAGCTCAAACGGCGGTGACCTGATCGCGCAACGTTAGCGAGGTCCGCAACACGGAGATGTCAAGTGCCCTTTCTGAAGCCCTTGCCGAACACGTCACTTCTGGACATCAAACCGCATCCTTGAGAAGCGAATCTAGTAGCGAAAAGCTAATGTTGATAGTGCGGCACTGAAGAGATGCGTTTCAGCCCTTGTAATTCAATAATGCACTCTCAGACGGAGGAAGGGGTTCCGATTAGGGAACTCCGCACGTTGGAAAGCTTGGGGCAGGCTCAGAATTGTTGGCAACAGACTGTTCATTGAGCTCAGTGCCGGGGGTGTGGCATCGTCCTTGCTGGCAAAAATGCTTTTCTAAGCCTGCAATAGGGACAAGCTCTGAATTGCCTGGTTACGACTACTGGACCTGGTGCTACCTGCCCATGTGTAACATCGTCCTGCCCTGCCGAGGCTTTCCAAACTACAGCAAAGACGGCTTCAAGTTTTTTGACAAAATACTGGGCCCGCTTTACCGACCCAGATGCTAAATCGTCCTGGCCGGCAGAGATTTCTAAGCTGATGTACAAATGGCTCCGAACGCGCACTGAAGGCAATTGGGCCCGGTTCACTGGCCCAGGATTTCGCATCGTCTTGGCCGGCAAAGAGAAGTAGGGACGGCTCTGAACGTCGTCAGACACAGCATTGGGCCCAGTTCAAATTCACCGGCCCAGATGTTTCATCGTCTTGGCCGGCAGAAACTTTTTACCTAAGTAGGGAGGGCTTTAAGAGCTTGTAGAAGGACAGCACCGGGCCCGGTTCACCAGTTCAGATTCCGCGTGGGTTGGGCCGGCAGAAAACCTTCAAGCTAAATGCGGACGGCTCTGAGCGCTCTTAGAAGGATCACATTGGGGCAAGGTCATGGGACCATATGTTGCATTGTCCGGGCCCACATAAAACATCGAAGCTCAAGTAGAAACGGCTCACAACGCTCTCCGAATGACACCACTGGGCCCAACTATTGAACCGTCCTGGCCGGCAGACAACTTTTCAGGTAAGATACAGACTGCCCTAAACGCTTCTTGAGGAACGGCGTTAGACCCTGTTCATCGGCCCAGGTGTTGCATCGTCCTGGCTGGTACGAAGTTTTAGAGATCGGAAGAGAGCTTCTGTCCATCTCTTCACTATGTCGACTAAGCAGAATCTCAAACATGCACGAAGACACAAACGACAGCACAAAATGAACGACAAAACGGTTCATATCCCAGCACTGCTCAATTGTTTAAATTACTTTAAAGACACGAGCATTGCCATACTGGCCAACTATGAGGACGCGAGCAAAGTACACTTCTTACACAAGATCATGCACTCAAATTGGAAGCAGAGAAGTCACGTGCTACTTAGCTTCCTCAAAGAATTGGGATTAAGCAGGCTTTAGGTTCTGCATTTCGACCCCATACGGGGTCCAACAAGCATCAGGAGAGTTGGATACGTTAGACGAAAAAGGGCTCATTTCAATATGAACCTACATGCAAAGCTCCACAACCTTGGAAAGGTCTGAAAACCCAAGACCGCTCAGCTAAGTGGTCGGACGGCTGAAAGCGGGCGCACGCCACAAACGCGCCACTGAACTCGACTCGCTCAACAGAAAGAGACCATCCTAACGCCTCTCAACGCTTTAATTGAATGGGGACGAAGCAGCTCCGACACTCAAATTGCCCACGCATGTACTGGATACTAGGGGCCAGGCGTACTGGCAGCGATGCGTCAACCCACGAATCTTGAATCCACACTCACAGTTCCCGCCAGCAAACACATGCCTGATGCCTCTAGCTGTCACCGTTATCGACGCTGCCCATTTAGATATTACCAGTCCTAAGCATGAACACACTGGAAGGGTAAGGAGTGTATTAAGCTGAAACGGCTGGCAGCATATGTGAACAGCAGGGAAGCTGGGCTGGGCAGATAGGTTGATGCCCACTCGCTCCCATCATCCTTGCTGCTTGGCAACAGAGGTTTGAAAGCACGGGACAATGAGTCAACCAATGGACCTCTGCAAGTGCAACGCCGTTGACAGATCAACAGACTGTCGTGTCCGGACCGGGTAAATGGTCCTTGAAGCGCGGATGTAAGGAGAAGAGGGATGTCGCACAGAAAACTCACAAGCAGGCCGGGCGCATCTGATTTACTTAGGACGAAGCAAACACTTCCTTCAAGGACAACAGGCCAGTATTCGGGCTTGGACACGTGGCAACACTATGCCTTGACGCTTCAAGTGATGGAGATTTGAATACCACTTGGCACTCTAGGCATCGGCTTGGATCAATTGAGACAGCCCGTCCTAAGCGAAGCTCGAAAGTGGATCTCATGAAAGTCGTACGCAGAAGAACTCTCCGCATACATTTTCGCATACGAAACAAAAGATTCCGAGGAGCATCACAGCTAAGACGTGGATCAGCCTAAGGAGAAAACCAAACGGCACTGGAACGGAGAGGGTGGAACTGCGGTGAACCGCCAATGAAACACTTGCGAAGCCGCGGCGGCGAGTTGCGCAAACAACGTCCGTTCCACTGAGCTGCCTCAAAAGGATCCAGTCTTCGCTATATGAGATGGTACAAAAAGAAGATTGCGACTACTAAGAAATCACAAGTGCTTTGCTTGGTTATGCTCGAGTTTCCCGCGGCTTCAACTAGAGGAGTCGATCGTTCTTGCGCTCAGCCACAAAATCGTCATCATTGCGGTATTTTTAACAGACTCTCGGACAGTCACAATGTTGCTTTTCCGATAAAGCAATCAGGGCGGAACCAGATAGTAACCGGAGACGAGTGAGGAAAACATTTTTCGACCTCAGAAATGCCTACAAAACACGGGAAGCAACTCATTCTGAATCGTGCAAGCAGATTCTATTCAAAGATAACCAGTCAGTAAGACCGTTCCAGGCCCGTGAGATGAGCCCGTTTTTCGTAAACAACAATCTCGGCCTCCCGACATCCTCTGACCTTGCACGTTCCGAACTGGGTCACAGCTTCACGATCTCAGCACTTTTTTCCGGTGACTAGTTAGAAAGAGAGATGACGTACTACTGAGGGGAGGAAACACGAGCTTTAACGTAAATTTCCCGACCTGAATATAGCCGAAAGATTCGTCCGACAAACTCGCAGCACGTGAACGCCAAGTGCGTACAATAACTCCACCCCAAACGTACCTCGAAGGACCAGATAAACTTGGACACCTCATCCGCCGAACCGCGCCATAAAGGGGCTGAACCCCGTTTGATCAGTACGTTGACCAATCTTGACCACAATCTCAGTTCAAATCACGGGATGAACCAAGACTCCTTCCAAGTTTCACTAGGGAATGGAGCAGAATGGGCCCAGATTATTGAGTGCCTACCAGCAGTGTGCCAGGGAACTAGTAGGCGCTTTGCAGTCTGCTTTACTTTCATGGCGGTGTGAACGCGTCCAATCGGTGCTTCGACCCCGCCAACAATAGGCGAGCTTGCAAGGACGATTACTTTTTGTGGGCGACATTAGCTGCAGAAGAAAAAGGTACGTCGACATTAAAACAGCAACAGCTTCATGATTGTTTCGCATTATAAGGTTCTAGGAAAAAATATTCCGCGTGCAATGCGCTCCTTTTTTAAACATTGGAGAACGGAAGGAAAGAGGCAATCAAGTAGCTCGGAAAACTGTTTCAGCGAGTTCCCGCTAGTGAAGAATGGTGAGCACAGCTAGAGCGTGAGGCACAGGTCGCCCGCCGGTATCCGCAAACACTAGCTCCTGATTCCCCAGATTTCTAAGAAAAGGTGTTGCTGCAACACGACGTGTGTAGAGACGTGATGAGCACTTTGACCACGTGTCCACACCGTGCCTGGTCGTCCGTGACCGCATGTCCTCTTCGTCAGCCTATGCATCAGCTCAGAAAATCAGCGGAACAGTACTTTAGCTTGCCCAACAAGTGGACCTTCTCATGGCCGTGTTACAAAATGAGGCCCATAAGGAGGTAACAACCAAGAAGCCCGAACCCGCATTCCAGCGGTGAGGTATACGGACTCGTTGCACCACATTTTAAAAACTAAGCCCGTGGAAAAGTCCTAAAAACACCAGCGAACGCAGAGCATGGAACCGCAGTCTTCCGCCCAAAGAACAACAGGGAACACCTTAAGGTCCATAATGGCAGCGTCAGACCATGCCACCACATGTACTTGCGCTCCCTCAAGGCGCTCTATTCTTGCCACCAGCCAATCTAAGTGCAAGCAGGCGATGAGATATATCTAGTAGCATGATCAAATCTGTCCCGTGACCCTTGCATCTTCGGGTCTCCAACCATCCCTCCTTGCGCGCACCTGAGACCTTGACCATCATTGCCGGAAATTATATCCGAGTTACTCACTTCGCCGTCAATGGAGATTCCGGTCGTCAAAGTGAAGTTGAACGTACGGTCTGCCAGAATGAGCAGCAAACTCTGCGAAGCGCTTTGAAAGCCGCTACCGCTTGATGTTTTTGGCAGCGCAATGGCAAGCGCTGCGGCAATCGGGCTGAACTAACCTATATGGTAACATGATTGCACACGCCTAGGCAGACAAGGGGCTCCTGCTAGGACGTAGTACCAGCGGGCCAGACTCACGGAAACTACCACCATAAGGCCGCAAACAGTCTCTTGCATGCCATTGGTTTGACCTTGAACACGTGGCAACACGTTGCCCCGTCGCTTTAAATATTCTCTTCATGTTTGTTTGGTTGCTGCCAGTTGTACCTGGAGACATTGGCTCAAGGAATCACAGACGGTATTTGAGCAAAGCTTAAGGAGTGGACCTCGTCATGGCCATGTGACATGTGGAATGCATGACCGTCTGAATTCTAACAACCCAAATTCATAAACCTGCATGGCAATTTTAGGGACTCGGTCATAAGGAACATAAGAGACCAGCCCGTGCACACAGTTCGCCGACAACGGGTGGACTTGCAGTAGCCTACTATCAACGAGGCGCGACAAGCAAATAGCGGAATGTGCAGCGTCAGAGTTGCGCAAGAAACATATTGAGCTCCCTCAAGAGTTTTCGTTCCTCGCCGCCCACCCACTGAACCGAAGATTGCCAGAAACAACGCCGGTAATGCGTGGACTTCAAATCGACCACCAGCCGTTCTTGCGTAGAACCGAGACGGTAAGTTCGCAAACCAATTGTCCAGTTCAAAATCCAGTTTAAGAGTGCCAGTCTGCTGAAGATTTGACATCAGTCACAAGAACAGAAGCTCAGACGAGGGATGGACTTTGGTGGCTAAGAGCATTTTATAAGAGCCGGAAGGATACCGAAGTTCTCGTGTCGACACCTGAAAGGCGATACTCAACACTTCAGATTCTGGGCTAGCTCGCACTTGGCAAATGTGGGCATATTTTGAATTTTTTTGATACAGCACGGAAACGCTACGAAGTCGAAACTCGGGACTTCACTTTACGGCAAAGTGCTTCGACGGCGCTCTCCACTCTTCCACAGCGCGACCAAGGAAAACTATGCACTGACATGGAGCTCTTGGACAGGCGACTGATAAATTGACAAAGTCACAGCACGTAAAAGTCAAGTCAAAAAGGGAGCAGAAGCTTTGTGGTTACTCGGCTACGCACACACAGTTGCGTCATCAGAACTTGGACAGCAAGGACGATACGACAGACAAACCGCCTGTCCGGATCCGCACGAGGAGCAAGTTGAACGCGAAGCCGGCTCCAGATTCTCAAGGAAAGGAAATCCGCTGGGCCCAGTGTTACCTGCCCAGATGTTTCGTCGTCCTGGCCAGCAGAAAGTTCCGAGGCTGTAATTGGGCTACTGTCCACTTGTTCGCCGCGTCGAGAACTCAGGTATTGACAAAACCAGGAACACATTGAACCATATAGAAGAAGCCTGGGAGCGGAGCGCAAGTTTTCAATGGCCGGTGAAGACAGCCCGTAGCACTGGTCGTTCTCTGATAGTCAAGCTCAATGTCAATAGGCCAAGTCAGGGCGACAATCGCCTTCAAGGTCTACGATCCCGTTAAACCTAGGTTGATGCTATCAAGGCCGCAGAATTGAAGCTCAAGCATCACAAGCTACATGCTTCTTAGGATGACCCGTCACTGAACAAAGCGGATGTGGCAAGGATTCGTATTTTGAATAATGTGGGTCCCATATCCAGAAAGGTTGGATGGCCTCAAAGACACAGGGGATCATGAGAATCGATACCTCAGTTTGATGTCGTCGTCACGGCCATAGGAGGGTCAGCCAAAAGGACTCGTCTCATTGCAAGTTCTCCAACACGCGAATTACAAATGCATGTACATGAAAGCGGCAAGTTTGAACCCAAGGCTCCCAAGACGAAGCCAGATCCCCAAACGTTTTCAAAGCCTAGAGTAGATGAGAAAGCATGAGGCCGCTTAAGAAGTCCTAGATTGTGCAAGCACATCTCGGCTTGCGGCAAACGTGCAAGGTCATCTTGTGAACCACTGACGAGACTAGTTACTGCTGTGAAAATCTGGCATTGGTTATGTCGATCAGGATTTTGCAATGTGGATGTTGCTCTTTCTTTGATGGCACTGCTGCAAACACTTTCTGCATATTGTGCTCATGCTAAAGCCGTCGGAAGCAACTTGATCAGGCATGTACAATTAAGACGCAAAAGACGGCTTCGACCAACTTGTTACCTATCTGAAGGTCAGCAGATTATGGAGATAGAGAAACAATGAGCTGAAACAGCGGGCAGCGTATGCAAAATTACACCGAATCTGATTGGGCAACGACGCCCGGTTCTCCGTCATCATCCTTGCTACCTAGCAACAAAATCAGTAAAGGAGCAGATTTAACGGGCGAACAGGCAAACTCTGGGACGACAGCGCTGTCCTGACAACATCTTGTCGTAAGAGTGATTGGACAGATAAGGGGAAGATCTGAAGGCCAAACATTAAAGCTGAACAATGAAATACACATATCTTTGAAGCGGAGCGGGCTCATCCACATCACCAACAAGTAATACGAGATTGCCCCTTTCATAATAACGTATGAAGAATCATGTCACACTTCCTTTGAGACCGCGCATGGGAGAGACTTCCCTAAAGGTGCTCCGCATATCAGATCTAGAGATCTCCTAACGACACGCCCAAAAGCCGAGTCCCTTGGGGAAGACGGACAAGTCAGCACGTGAAACCGCAGCAATCCGCACAAATGTCGTCAAGGCGCAACACGGAAGTCGACGATCTACGGCGTCAGAACACCGAACTACATCCAATGAGCTGCCTCAAGAGGCTCTCTTCCTCGCCACAGATCAGCATACTACGGATCTGAACGAAAAAGCAATAGAGGCGTGGTTGACAATGGCCACACAGGCTGCCCCTTGCAGGTAGACAAAATAGTCCCTCCTTCCGCTGCAGCAGCCTAAGAATTCAATCATCATCGCTGAAATTCTAGTTCAGAGGTCCGTCGTCGAATGATTTGAGACTCGGCCACTAAATCGGAGGGCGCCGGACAGTCACGGATTCCTGCAGCTGCAAGCATCCTGACAACTGGGAGATATAAACGCATTTTTCCATCCCGAGAAGTCGGGACCCAACTCAAGCGGAGCCATGTGAAAAGGTTGGGTCCGACGTGTACAAGCCAGAATGAGATTCACGCATTGCGAGCTGCGGGCCTTTTTCGTTTTGCAAGACTCGAAGTTCCGAGGTTGCAAGTGCCTAATGGGCTCGCCACGGATTTTGGTGTTCGTCCATCCGTTCTTAGAAAAAGACGGACTTCCAAAGGAAAGATAAGAAGGTTCGTGCGATTAAGTTCAGCGCTAACATAGAATGCATCGACTGAAAGGACGACTGCACGTGGGCGGAAGCGCCTCTACACACAATAAAAATGCATGTTACGAGTTGAGCGTTCCTGACGCTTTCGACGTACCGGGGAAGGATGGGGCAGCAGGAGCTCCTGATCGTACATGCACAAAGACGCGGCAGGCGTACTGAAGTATCAGTGGACGCATACTAGAACACGAGAACCCTCAAACTAGTATGCTTGTCAGACTCCCAAACCTTTTCTTGCTTCGGTTCAAGACGGGCAGCGCGCCAACATGCCCTCTATGTTGCGGTATCACCTGGTGGATAGACAATCGGAAGCACGGCCGCTGTGGACAAAAGATATGCCTGGTGCTTACAGAAGTGAGCACATAGACGCCTTCCATCAGGCTTTTGGAAAGATTTGATGTCATTCATTCCGAAGAGCAGAAATGCAGTGAGCTTGAACAAGTAGCAGCATATGGAAAAGGTCTACATTGGGGCAGGCAGTCAACACCCCAGTCTCCCATTTCATCCTTGCTGCTTCGTATGACAAAATTAGAAGCACAGGAGTATCAGACTGATGGGGGACTCTTCGCAACAGTAGCGCTGTCGACAGACGGACAACAAGTCTTAATTTGAGCGAAAGCAACACAGCAATCTTGATCATGCGCTCATTTGCCGGGACAGAACCGGACAGTGACGAGACGAATTGAGAACTTGCACGACCTTGTTGAGCTCGGAAGTGGGCGCGCTTGCAAACCTTCTCGAGCAACATATACTTTGGGAGCAGGAACAACTCCGAAGAGTCATAGCATTTTGGGTTGTTGAGCGGCCGATTGTCGTGAACAATCGCGTTTCAATCTAGGTAGAGATGAAACGAGTGAAGCGTACGGGACTACATGGACGGCCTCAGCCTCGGTGTCCTCTTGCTCTCTTAGCCAGGTTGGCTTACCTAGGAGAGGTGTACAGAGCATCATGACCACCAACATGACAGAAACTGTGCACTTGGGAGAGCTGAAGCGGCTTTAAGCCAAAACGAGCCAGTAAGCATTTGCCGATTGAAATGGGCGGGCTGCAACTGACTCTATTGCATTGCAGGCACCGAAAACATTGTCATCTCCAAGAGTATTCGCGGGTCATGACAAAGTCATTCAATTCATTCGGTTCGTGGAAACCTGGCAATCTACAGACCGCGAATTTGTGAGTTTGACCGCGAAGCTGCGCTTGTCCTTGCATACCATCTCAATTGATACCCGAAAACCGACACAGCGGCCGCTGCATTCAGTGACGCAGCAATGACGACGAGGCTTCTACGCTGGTGAAACTCTGAAGCAGAGCACTCGGAACACCAAAGAGATTCTCTCGAGTGACCAAGAACCTGGTAGGTTGGAGTGGTTAGGACTTGGGACGGGCTGCCCACTTTTCACCCATCTCCATTTTAAAAGCATCTCAACATCTGGTCCTGCAAAAAGCTCACCCGCTGAGGTTGTCAAGCCGGACGGTGCTCGTACGCGATCGGATTGCAGCGCCTTGTGCCCCTTCCACGAGTTGAGCTGCACCTCCTCGCCAGTTTCTTCGCATTCCTGGAACAGTTCCAAGCGGATGACGTCAGCGAAGGTAGGGAGGCATGAAATGCTGACGCAAATCAAATCAAGCTGACGCGGTGCCAATGGCGTGCCCGCCAGCTTCTCCGCGATTTTGCATGAGCAGGGACCGCTGACGTCAGCGAAGGAAAGGGGTAAGGAAAGCGGACGTCATCAGAGCAGGTTAGACTGTGGTGCATGTTTTGTTAAGCGTCCCCGCTAGCAGTCACTTTCCTTGGGGGGAACTTGAACCACATGAAGAGGGACTGTGGCAGGTCACCGTCGCCGTTGACGAAACTAAGAAGAGCGGGACGGAGTCTCTTTATACGGCATACCGTCGACTCAGGGCTCGCTTTAGCACGGATTTCGACAAAAAGAAGAACAAAACTGAGCAGCTTTCAAGGAAGGCAGAAACGTATCGAATGGAGTCTGCAGCCGTTCCGAAGCTTCGGACAGTACCGAAGAAGGGGCACTGGGGGATGCCAGATTCGGACGAATAAATTCGCCTGCGTGAATCTGGGAGCTGCCGACCAGGCAAACTTTGAGATAGACGCCGGCTTTGACGCCCAGATTTTGATCCCTGTCTGGTTATGCACCTTAACTACCACTACTAGACCAATTAACCAAGTCAATCTAGCAGCTCCGGTACTCTCAGCAAACTCTTTGTGGAAAGCGTGATCTGGGCCCACAAAAAATTGCATCGTCCTGGCCACAGATTACCGATTTGAAACGGGATGCAAAACTTAAGACGGCAGAATAGATCATTTGCGTGAGGATCGGGGGAGGTGCTGGATGAAAGCAGAAGTACCGAAGGGCACGCAAGGGCTGACAACGATGAATACACGTTCCGAGTTCAGCTAGGCAGACCGTGCTGATCGCTGAACTCCGTTCGTTTGATTTCACAAAGTCTCTGGCCACAGCAGATACTCCACTAAGTACCACAGCGGAAGGAAAGGATTTCTGGACAGCAAACCGACTGGAACGTTTCTCAAATTAAGCAGCTTCAGGGACTGGGACCACCCTCTGGGTCACAACCAGCCAGCTAGTGCCACATCACAGCTCCAGGTCAAACAGATGAAACGATCGCTGACGTGATCCTCGGCAAATGGAGGAAACGGCGAAACAGAGCGGAACACCGATAGGACTCTGATGAGGCCATGCGGAACTCGCAGCCAAACACGATGATTTTGGGTGTATGCAGGGCTCTGGGTGTTTCTTTCTTGCTTGCGGCTCTGTCCGAACGCGTTCACTTTGTGCTTGAGCTACGCTCGTCAATGAAGCACGTCATAGCCGAAAGTTAAATACCAACAAAAAAGAAAGTAAGAGTGTGAGTTATACCCTCCGATTCTACAGTAATATACAACGATGGGCAGAGCTTGAAAACCAACACCATCGTCTTCGTCGCCGGCTTCCGTTTTGAAATGATGCAGAAACCCCTTCTACCAATCGGAAAGAGGGTAGATATCCTGTCGAAAGGTTTGCTCAACCCGGGTAGTTCTCATTTGAAAAATGTCTTCGTGGCCTGCCAGCGTCAGGTGGAGGCCAAATAAAAGTCGATGCAGCCTTATGCTGAGTGGAGCCTCAAAAGAGGCTGAGCCCTCGAAAGAGGCCCGTTGACTTTTGACTGACGCTTGGCTGACTGCGTCTTCAAACCCGACTGGTCGTAACAGCTCTGACATTCAACAAACCCTGGGCAAGGTTCAGCCTTACTCAAGCAAAGTTGTTATCATTGCTGCTTAGCCATAGATGCAATCTTGCAAGCAAAGAACTCGAATCCAGCAAGGGTGAGGGTGAAGCACGGATTGCACAATGGCATCGCTGTAAACAGTGAACGTAGATCTGCATACCCAGTACTTCTTCTCGTCCTGGAGCAATGAAACAAGGCGCTACAACTTGACTTTCATTTGCAAGTGCAAATGAGCTTGAAGGCACAAAGGCACCATCAAAACTTCTGCTGAAGAAAGAGACCGTTTCGTAAGCGACTCGGACCAAATCGGACACATACACAACGGTGTCGAGATCAGGCACGAGATACAAAGCTTTAGTGCGTCAAAGCAGTATGCTAATTCAGGGGACAGAGAGTTCAGATTCCAGTGTCTTTGCAGCCACCGTTGTGTTTGTGGCAGAATGACACACATGCAACACAGTCGCTTGATATGAAGCACGCACCTTTGTCAAACATCGAGTCGTGACGCCGACATGCGAAACAGATCCGATGAAATCACTCGCCACCGAGGTCACTCATTAGTGGTTGCAATGGCCATCAGAAATGCGGATCGTTGGTCAGGCTTCATAAGACCTGAGGATGAGCGCAAACATCTTCGCCGTTTTGGCTGTTCTCTTACTTTAGCAAGCCTTCTTGCAACAGAGCGGACATTTAGGCAGCAAGAGGAGAACATTAAAAGCTCCAAACCAAGTGTCCGGTAAAAATAAGCTGAAAAGCTATGACGTGTGATTTTCCTTCTCAAAAAGTCTTCAATGCACAGTCCTCTTTTGGTCTTCGCCAGGAACATGAAGGAACAAGAAGCAGGGAATGTGAAGAATCTGGGCAAAGCACGATGAATTGAACATTGATAAGCTGGGAAGACGAAAGTTGCTTTAAGATTGCAGCTGGGATAGCCAGCAGAGGTTCAATCTTAGAAATGAAATAAGCAATGAAACCAGACAGGGGACCAGGCTCCTCTTACTTGTGATCACTTTCAACCTCGTAACGCTCTTCTCGGACAGTGTCCCATCAGAATCAACCACCAGGACCTCGTGTTGGTCTGGAAACCCAGGTTGGCTGCCCGATATGCTCTTGTCCATCAGCACTTTAGAAATCCTGCAGTATATGTAGAGAGCTTACTCTTTTTCCAGTCCACAGGTTCTCATTTGTTGGCCAGCCTTAAACCCCGTCCTTAAGAGCTGAACCGACTCTGGCAAGACCTTGCAAGCTGCCCGTTGCCATATGCTGCAGGTTTCAGAGAGCAATCGATTCAATCTAACAATCTAGTTTTAGTTGTGAGACCAAAATTCTAGCAACATCTGACTTCACCTGTGACCTTCCAACAAATCATTCTAGAAACGATCTGTGTTCCCTGCTGGGGAAGCTAAGTTCGGTGGCGGTCTCAAATCTGAGGAACTCCCTTTCGAAGCTAATCTGCTTGAAGATATTGCCTTTTCCAGCGCTTTATCTTTAGACCTATTTTCCTGTGGTGTGCCTTGAACGGACCCGAATCATGTCCAGCGATCCATTCTCCAACAGCCTCTGAATTCTTCTAACTACCAGTCGCACATTAGTGCGCCAGCCACAGAAGCAGCACTTTCTTTCCAATGTGCCTCAAGAGCAGTCACGTTTGTGTGCCCTACTCACCTTTCCACTGCAAAACAGAAAGTAAAGACCTGGGCTCTAATGACACCTGAGGTTGACTTCATGCGAGACTAACGTTAGGCCCCGGCAGCCGCTTGACGCAAAAAGACAGATACACAGAGGAAGGTGGCATAAGCCCCTGACTTCGTTGTCCTCCAGATGTTTCCACCAAGCCTCGCAAAGGAGAGCTTTGGCAAGAGCGCAGTGCTCACCGTTTTGACGGCCTGAAGGCACTTCTCTTGTGTCGTCATGATACATGGTACGCCTAGAACGCCATGCCATGTGCCCGCCTCGGTGGCTGCCATGCGCTAGCCAGCTGCGACTGCACCAAAGCAAGGCGGATGTCGCTTGATTGTCACAAATAGCCAGAATTCTTGACAATCAAAAAGTACAGCCTTCTCTCAGCTCCAAGGCCGCAGTCCTGACTGACTGTTTGTTGCTGTTGACGTTTGAGCTACAAATGAAAGGCTGATTGACAAAGTATGGGGTGACAGGTGACTATTGATAGGCTGTGGGGCTGCAAGCAGCGACTGAGACTGAATCTGTGCAGATTGTTGCTGAAAGGTGGAAAGAACAAAGCGAACAAAAAAAGAACAGAAGGCTATAGATGCAGAATGCACGAGCGCTGTGAACCAACTTTCTTGCCATCTGAAACCCCAGTGTCAGCATGGTGTGCTCGCCTCTTCATCCCAGATGTTGCTGCAGCCTGACTGAGACTTTGTGGCCGGCATTGCTCTCAGCACTCTGAGACCTCCTGGGAATCTCTTCTGCCCCCTTTTAATTTTCTCCAAGCTGATTGAAGATGCAGCAATGGTCATCCCAGATGCATTGCTTGTTCTCATGGCTTTCAAAGAAGCAGTAGGAGCTGGGACTTACAAGGCTGCCAATGCATTGCTCCTTCCCCTTCTGCAGTATGCCCTCCCCAGCCTCGGCGGCGTCAGCACCCAAAGCATGATCAAACCGCATTCGCAGACTTGTGCTCCTAATGACCGTAGCATCTGCATAAATGTGCACCAATGCAGCTGCTACCAACACAATGCTGTTCAGCTGCTTCCGCCAGCTGTAAGAGTTTCTGGAAGCTTCTTTTGACCACCCCTTAGCTCCAAGGCACTCAGAACTGAGCAGACAGATGCAATTGGTTTCCTGGGCCGAGGAGAGCGGAAGGATAGCAACGAGTGTATCTCGATCATGCTGCCCTTAAAAGTGAAAAGAGCTGCAGCCTCAGCAGCTGCAGCTCTCCGATAGTCACTAGCTGGCAGGCCCAGCCTGAGGGGGGTGCGGGGGGGCTGCTTTCCAAGTTTCGACAGCTGTGAGTTTTCTGTTTTGCTTTATATATTATAGAAAGAATAATGGTGAAACCAAATCGGGGATGTAGCTCAGATGGTAGAGCGCTCGCTTAGCACGAAGTCACCACGACGTCAGCACCTGCGAGAGGTATTGGGATCGATACCCAACTTCTCCACATTTTGGCCCAGGAACCTTTTTCGCCCGGTTACTTCAACGATAAAACGGCGGGGCTGCCGCCCCCCCGCACCCCCCTTTATCCTTTAATGGGGCCCTGGCCCTGTAAAAGGAGTGCTGCTGTGCGGCCCCCGAAGTGGGTAAGAATCCGTGGTGGTTATGTCACTTATCTGAGTTCCGTTCCTTTCAGTGCATTGTCCAAAATTAAGCGTCTTTGGCAGGTTCGTGTGACAGGTGTGAGGCAGCCTTCATTGAACTCCATGTGGGCTTTCCCTTTCACCTTCGGCTACTGCCGATTTGAGTTCGGATACCATGCTTTCTGTGGCGCCGGCCCCAAAGAAGCATCGATGAAGGACAAACCGGGCCCACTGTCAGCCAGAGCTTCATCGCCTGTGGACCCCGCATGCGTGACGTCAAGTTTGGTGGACTGCTAACAGCGATAATACCTCGTTGACATACATTTGCGAAACGTGCTTCATGCAATGTTTGTGTGTTTGTGTATGGGCGTGGAGGGCCCAATGATGTACAATCAATGCTTTCCTGTTGCCAAGGCCAATACTAAGGACAGCAGTCGTTCATACATGACTTTCTCCGATGGACCGTTCTACGTTGTGAGCCATCTATTGAGATATTAATTGATGCATTCCGAGCTCTGATTTGTTGGACGCCGCATCTTTTACGAGGTTCATAAGATACAGAAATATGCTTGTATCTGGATCGAAGTGCCTTGCTTTCAAGTGGGCGCTGGTCAATCGTCCTTCCCCGTATTATATCCATTGGTTAGTGTGGCCCAGAAGCCAAGGAGATGACCCGGTTCCCAAGGCCAGACCCCGGTCGGCTCGATCGCATGAGTCTGCTTTTCAAGTTTGATCCTGCACTTGCAATCAGATATGCGTAGTCCGTCTGCTGATCCGGCACAAAAATGAGGCCTTGCAAATGATTTTGTAATGAGCGTTCCGCAGTTCTAAGGATACTTTATAAGTTCTGAAATGAGAAGACCCTCTCGCAGAAAATTTTCTTGAGCCCGCCGCCCGATCGCCGAACCGAACCCACGACAGGCGGCCCGTCTATGCGACGGGCGTACTTCATCCAGTCATCATTCGGTCATCCACGCGGCATCCACAAGTCATGCCTCAATCCTTCGAATCTTAGCGGAAAACCAAGACTTTAAAACAGGGTCGAGTACTAAGGCACGCAACGGACCTGGTCCTCAGGACGACGTATAGTAAAAATTCAGGCCGACGTGATTGACTTCGCACATATGCAAATGGGACTGTGGTATGACAAAGCTGAAGCGAATGACCCTGATCGAATCCGTAGCGCTCGGACGAGGTGCTATTCTACATCGTGAGCCTCAAGCCCTGCTAAAGGAGGGCCTGTTCGCTGAAAGAAGAATCTCGCACCCTCCCATCTAACTGCGCGCCGGGATCTTTAAATTTTTAACCAGAAGCTGTTAACAGCATCTAAGGCAGGCTCTAAGCGGCTTCAGCAGCTGCTAACGCAGAATTGACCAGCCCCGGGTTTGTGCCAGCAGCTTCCCGGAGGACTATGGGCCCTGCCTCATGAGTTCGACGGCTGCACAGACGAGAGAAACGCTTGAGGCCGACGAAAGAAAAAAGATGCTGTCTCGGGGCAGAGCAACGTCCGGGGCGGTATGCAGATCACCAAACGGTCTGCATACCGCGTTACGGTGTGCAAATGACATCGCGGCTGCATGCGGCTCGACTTTACTGGTTGCTTCGAAGTCAGAAAGCCCGCGTCAAACGTGCTTCCAAAGAACAGTGACCCCTCATCTGTGTTCATTTGCCCCAGGCAGAATCTGCTTCGCTCACGGTGAAGTCTTCCCCATGCAAGTCAATGTGCTTTGCAGATTCCTCCGCTTTAATTTATGGGAAAAAGTTATTAGCAGCTTCAACCGGTAACGAGCGGGATAAAGAAACCTTCTTTGACTGACATCTCAACAGATAAGGTGAACAATCTCTTACGTTTCGAAGTTTCAGTCACGAAGGCACTGAAAACTCGACATCACGCTTCGTACAGTTCCTTGAAATTTCCTGCAGATTTAAGCAAAGCTCCTCGAAAGTCAGGAAGCTAGAGCGTCAGGAAGAGCGGCCGCCATGGCAGGCTCAGTGAGCGGAAGGGATTTGTTGTATGCGGCCGGAGGCTGCCAGTACGAACCGTAAGTTTGGCACTGGTCGGCGGGGCTCCGACCACGATCGATCCGGGGCCCGGCGCACTCAGGTATGAGCGATCGGATGCGCGCGGCCGCCCCGCGGCCCTTACAATATAAGGCTCCGCGAAGCACGGCTGCGCCGCCCCGGCAATCGGATCGGATATTTCATTGTACTGTTCTATACGGCTACCGGCTAGTGCGACGGAATCCTCGCGTCACGCATACGGAGTCGAAGCAACGGACTGGGATCGGACGCGCCGGGTGCAGTATAATTCAAAAATGCAGCGCTTCATGAAAGTGGGTGCATGTCAGTCAGTGCCGGATCGAATCATTGAGTGTCGGATTGAATCATTCAAAGCACTACTAGGCTATGCATGATGATGCAGAATACATCTGTACATAGCGCTTCTAGCCTGCAAAACTTTAAGATAGTAGAATACAATAAGAGTACAATACAAGTGGGCCGTGACGGTCCAATTGAAGCTCTATTGGAGACTCAATCCGATCGAGTCCGTTCCTCAATCAAGACTTTGAAATGAACAAACTTGCGCAGCTCAACCAATTCGTCCAACCTGGAACTTGCAAATGTACGTTGAATTGCTACATACTCCTAGCTTAACTCACTAAACGCGTGCGACAGCTGGTTTTTGGAAGTATTAAAGCGGGGGCCGGCTCCAATAGGCTGCCGCAACCCCCTTCCTCCGTTGGGAAAACCCAGAGGTCGGTGACTTGCAACGGGGCAGTCAGAGTCAATTCAGGGAAAGACATCGTACCTCACTTCGGTGGCGCAGTTGCCGGTCTGGTTTCTATCTTCGCAAGCAAGCCGGAGCAGTTTTCTGTGTTCAGGGAAGAACAAAAGCTCGGTCGTTTGTAAACGCTGGTCAGCGTCAACTAAAGCCATCGTATCCCACTGCCGCGAGTGTCAGCCCCTCAGGAGGTGCGGGCGGCGCAGTCGCCCGCCTGCTTTCTAAGGAGGCAAGACGCAGAAGTGCGTCTTCTGAAGAACCAGCAGCCGCTTCTCGAATGGCTGTCGCCACGACGACCCGGACCATCTGCGAGTAGGATAGAGTAAACGTCAGCAAAAGCTTGCATTCTAACGACGCTAGACACAGTACTGCACTTTCTGCTGAGTCACCGGCGGCTTCTTGGATGGCTGTCGTCAAGATAAAGCAGACAATCTGCGAGAAGGACACGTAGACGTCAGCAAACGCCTGAATCCTGACAAGGCACGACGTGGGAGTGCGTCATCTTACGACCCCGCGGCGGCTTCTCGAAAGGCTGTCGCAACGACGACCCGAACCATCTGCGAAAGGAGAGTGAACACGTCAGCAACGCCTGAAATCTGACAAGGCAAGACGTAGAAGAACGTCATCTGATGAGCTAGCGGCGGCCTCTCTGACGGCTGCCGCAACGACAACGGGACCATCTGCGAGAGGGAATGGGACACGTCAGCAGCCTGTAATTCCGCCGTTTGCGGGTCTAGAGGGTCGTCGCAAGAAACAAACACGAAGCGCAGAGTAACCTGAGCCAGCAGCAATTTCCGCGTCGCCTCTGTCCGGTTTGCGGACACATTTTGGTACAAGATCGACATGTGTGGTTCTTACTCAAGCTTTGAAGGAGACACGAAAAGGCATGTTCAACCGACAAAAACTTCCGGCAGCCACTCCTCTGACTTCTGTGCGCAAGTCGGTTTGGACTCCATGCTCAGGTGGAAGCAGGTTTGGACCGGTCTGACATGAAATAAAGAACTCGGAAGCAATAGTAACATCGTAAAAGCAGGACCGAATGAAGAAAAGTGTCCTTCATCAACGTCGTGACCTCACCCTGTGGAGGAAGCGATTGCCGATGAGAGTGAACCGCAACGCGTGGTGCAGCGCGCGTGGACTGTGTGAGGGTGACGTCACAGTGACGACGTCGGCACGTGCCTTGTACAGGTGGCAGACCACGTGCTGGCCGCTGCAGAATTAGGAAGGCGCGCTCGATCAGAAGTCAGAAACAACCACCAAGATTGAGAGGTTATACTAGGATGCGGTGGTCCAAACCTCTGCTGACCAATGAACACAAATTAGCGAAGGGGAAATTCACAAAAGCACTTTGGGAGTGTTTGCTTGCGGTTGTGGAAAACCCAGTTAGGAACCTGTCGACGTGCTGTCCAAATGACGATCTTCGCCTCAAACTTTTGTAGTAAGTCGAGACAAAGCGGAACAAAGGGAAGTCTTGTCCAAAAACAAACATGAATTTCCATTTGCAGAAAACAAAGCATTGAAGGGAATGACGAAGCGCACGCATATGAATCGCACTCGCCGGAAAACATGCCCTCTTGGCGGCTGTCTCCAAGGAAAGAAACGATCGACGTTGGGTCAAGACGCAAGTGGGCAACCATTGCAGGAATACGATACCGCTCTTCTTCTCCTACAATCGCCCAACTCAGATGAAGCTGACGCCGTCTTGCTACAAGGTCGTCTCGGCGCAAAGGCTGAAAGGCACAGTTGCAACAGCGCCGAAGCCGTCTGGCAAAAATAGTAACGGAGAGCGTCAACCGCAACCCTTTCTTGCCTGCTCCGTTCCGCATCCGCAGTAGCTTAGCCCCCAGAGCTTACGAGAACCCCCGCATCGCAAGGACTATGACCTGCTTCTATCTGCCCTCGTATCCCGCGCAAAGCTCCCATAGCTTATGCTCCGTCCCTCCAATCGCCGCATCATCCCGCCCAGTGCTTGCACACTAAACACCAACGGCGGGATCGTATTCACAGTGTCACGTGGTTGGTGCGGCGCCGCCGCTCCGGGGGGCTGCATCCTTATGCGGCCGTCAGCCTGGAGCTCCCCCCCCTTGAGCGGAAACAGGTACACGTAGTGGCGCCACTTGGCGGAGAACTGCGCGTGGAAGCTGCGGCTCACCTGTGAAAAGGAGCAGCGCAAGCGCTGACGTCAGCATGACGTCATGAGCGATGACGCCATCACGACGTCAAGCTCTTGCAAGTAGAGTACGTCCTGGAATTGTCTGGTCGCTGTGCGGGCTGAGGTCCATAAAAGAGTCTGATGTATCTCTTTACGTGAAAGAGAGCCAGACTTGATGAAACATTGAGAACTCAGACGATGCGGACTATCATCCAGCAAGGCCAGGGAGCAAAACAAAAGCGAAAACTTAAATGAGCAGCCTAGGGCTTGAGGAACAGAGACTCACATGTGGAAAAATTCTTACTCTCTGAGCAGAATGCGATCACCCATTTTGAGATACTGACGTCAGCAATATACCTAAGCCGCTCTAAGTTTCCGTGCTCAGGCTGTTGCTCGAGAGATAGAGGCCACAATGGCAACTCAAAAGTCTCGAGGGAGACCCGGTGCGGAAACTAGAGCAACGGCAGTCAGTCCTGAAAGGATACGACATTGGCCGAGTACGCAAAAGGATTCGAGGAAGGTGAAAGGAGAAGGCGAGAAAGTGACAGGGAAGAACGAGGACGAAAGAACGGCGGCTTTGGTTCGAAATAACGAGACGCGCAATTAGCTTACCTGAGACACGTCTACCGCCCGCAACCGCGCTGGCGCTTCGCGGCTGATGGCCTCCGCAATCACCTCACAGTTGACGTCTGGACAGCGGGTATCTGCATAGAAAGTGAAGAAAAGGAGTCTGTAATCAAAGTGCTGCCTGCCAAGAGACGTGTACGTAGAGTATCACATGACTTCTTGCTAACTCGCGTTGCTACCGGAGAAAAGAAAACAGGTGCAGCTTGTGGAGCTCTGTCTCAGTAACCTGGGGTCAGCGTCGAACGCGTTGCATCTGAGCCGGTTGTATCACATCCGGGCAAGCTGCAGGGTCGGACATTTGATTAAAATGACGTGAGAAGCTTTGTCTGAGCGGACCCGGATGTTCACATGCGCAGCATAGAATTGGGATGACAACCTGCTTCTCGTAAGGAGAGAAAGTGAACGAGCTTGTAAACACCAGACCGACTGATTTCTGAGTAGTAGTAAGCCGTTGATTGTAGATAGAGATTCACAAACGACAGGGCATTTCCAAAATGCATTCGACACAGCCGCACCACACAGCCATTGTGTCAACCTTTGTTCCAAGAACCAAAGTGCCAGCAAGTCATCCCGTTCAGAACCACAAAAGGTTTTGATTTGGCGAAAGCACCTCCAGGTGCTTATGGGGATGTGAGTAGTATTTTTCGATAGCTTGCTAAACAAGGGAAGCCATTGCTTGACCAGAAAAGCGGACACAGTTTGGGGAGCAGGAAAGAGCGTGGTGCAATCAAGTTTGGCGGGCCACTCTGTTCCGACATACAAACTCACACCAGGAGACCACCTGTCCGGCGGCGCTGACGCCCCGGTCCGTTCTCCCAGCCACGGTAGCGTTTGCGTTGTGTTTGGAGGCGGTTCCGTCCGATTCCTTCCCGTTCCGGCCTTCGCAATCGTCCAGAACGGAACGTAAGGCGCGCTCCAGCGCACTGCAGGGAAAGCGATAACGTCTTCTTGTTTGGAGGGCGGAGTCCGATGGCCCTGGCGGAAGCAACGGCTTGTTGACTTGAAAGTGGTATTGCAGGTTCTTCCATTGTCTGCCTAGAACACTTTGGAAAACGCTAGATGTAAAGGAGGACTCTGAGTCCGAGAAACGAACCAGCGTGGAAGTGTTACGGTAGCGTATCCAACCGTAGTGATAACTGTGGTGATCTTCATGAAACCAGAATTTGTGGACCGTTCTGGTCCTATGGGGAATCAAGATTGTTTCAACCTAAGACTGTACTATTTGAGAGTATCCTCGAAAGAACCTCAAGATTCATTTACTGGCCGCTGCAGTCAGCGAGCCTACTGCGCTTGCTTATGAGGGAGTCCATAACCCGAGCTGCACCAACGAGTCAACTATCCCGGAACAAGTCTCGACGTATTCCTAGTCAACTCGAGGACAGAAAATATCACCGGTCACTCTGGGCGAAAGCAGAGCCTGCATACATGAAATAGAGTTCAAAGCGGAAAAGATTAGCGACAACAATCCAAAAATCTCCGAATGCAACAGCATTGGGTTCGTAAACCTTGAAGCACACATTTATACAAGGGTCCGACAGGAAAGCCCCTAGGAAATGATCGCTCACTCTTGCACGGTCTTGTGGCCAGTCTGCTTTTGCCACCCCCAGAAGTGCCGACCGCTGTACGCCAGCTCGATCTTGAACGTCCGCCGCTCGGATTGCTTCCGAGAACCCGGCGTCGCCCCTTCGGACGGCTCACCATTGCCCGGAACTCTGTAACGGACGAGCGATATGGGACCCTTGGAATCTTTTGACCTTTCGGAAGCTCTTCGAGTTCCCGCGATTGAAGTGTCCTCAACGGACGGCCCCCAAACGTCCGATTTCAGTCCGTAGCTTGCCGACGACCTGAGACCGTTCTCGCTTTCATCAAAGGCGCCTCGACCGTTTGATGCTTTGCCGTCCACGACAAACACTGCACAGCCGTTCCGATCGGTGCCAAGATCGGAGGACCGAGACCCATCCGAAAGCTTTTCTTGGGCGAAGGCAACCCGATCGTCCGACTTTCTCCGTTGTTCACTTGTCTCTCGCCTTTCAGGCGCTTCACAGCCCGCCGACTCGCTGCCGTTACTGGACTCCCTACAAGAATCAGATTCGTTCTCGCCCTCCTCGGACGCCACCTGCTTGTCCGGATTGTCCCCCAGTCCACATGCTTCAGGACCGTCCGAATCGGAGCGTGATTCGGACAGGGGCGACACGTCGTCCAGGGAAGCTTTCCCAGCGGCGACTCGATCGTGGAGGTCTTCGATGACGCTCCAGGGGCGATCGCGCATCACCTCGTTGCAGCGGCTGCAAAGTTGAAACATACATAAGCTGGGAACCTCAGAAGAGGAAGAATTGCAGAGGCATCAGGAAAGCTTATGGAGAAGAGCTCAGTCATTAGGAGCCTCTGAATTCAATGCCGCTCCAACGGCGATCGCGCAGCTTGCTGCATTGGCTGCAAAGTTAGGCTTTAGGAGGATACATGTTCCTTCCGAGTAACCGAATCGCAGGCGCGCCAGATGGGGTCTTTTTAGAGTCTGGGGTCTCTGCACTTTGAAGTTCCCTTCAGCTCTGAAATGGAATTGCTTAAAGCTCTCAGAAACTATGACCGCATTAAAACTACAGCTGTTGGTAGGAACTGTACACTAAAACTGTTGCGGTCACTTCCAAGGTGGAGAAACAGATCAGTATCCGGCATAAGGAGTGTTGCGAGGATGTAACAAGAGAGGAGGACTCCCAAGTACCAATACGCGGTGCAACCATCGGGTCGTGTGCCTTTGGAACAAGTAACAAATCAGTAGAATGTTGAGGACAAGAGTAAATCTCTGCTGTAACTGGTAGATCTGAAGTGGCTCTGTACATGATCCATGTAACGTACTTACACAACACAGAAATGTTTGGTGTCCAAGCCAGGAATGGAACCCTAAGAGCCAGGAGAAACAGAGAGTGGTGCAGGCAGCAGGCAAGCATACCGATTTGGTGCCGAAAGAAAGACAGGGAGAGACAGCCTTTCTTTCAAATGCTCGATGCAAACAGTGGGGAGACCCGGAAGCAGAGTAAGGCTGAAAAGACGTATGAATTGTGTGCGAGCAACGACAGCTGTTCATCTCAAAAGCATATCACAGAACACACAAAGATTAGGCAGGAACAAGCTGAGGTACATAAGCGGAAGACCTCAATGATTGAAAAAGGACACACATACTACAAGGAAGACCTTCAAAGAAGTGCTTACAATGGAGACCAGCGGAAGGGCGCCCTCTCGTCCGTGTGCTGAAAGTATTCAAGGCCCCCATCCGCCGTAGGCCACCACTCGTCACCCATAGCCTATGTACACAGATCCCTTGTTGCTGACAGGCCGCGGGTGGCGGCTTTCTGTACAAAACAATGCGCCAGCCAGACAACGCAGCGTTTCAAGGAAGGTGAGCGAGCCAGCCAAGCTCCTTCTCATGAAAAGTGATCTCTGGTGCTTTCAGGACCCAAGGTTCAGAGAGTGGCACGCAGCTACGTCTTTCAATCGTAGCTGCAAAACAGTTGTGAGCCCTCTTGGAAGTATCTTAGTGTACCACCCGGTGTGCGAGCTGGTGCCACCACTGGCGGCAGGGAATCTGGCAATGCTGCGCACCAACCTCAAATTGCTACTAAGTAGGTTGGGCCCATGTTGTTGGGCCAGATGTGAAGGTGGAGAGGTTCAAGAGCGGCTCTGATCCTCTCTCTCATTGAGCTGAGCAATGCGACACTAGCGCTGGCATGCAAGCCAGCTAGCTAGCTCGACGGGCGGATGCGGGTGGCGGCCGCGCGCGCTCTTATTCAACGCGCATATTGACCGCGGCCTGTGACTGCCCGTCGGCGCCTCATCACAACCGGTCCGACCCCTGTGAAAAGGTAACTTGGGTAGACCCTACGAGTGCACAACTCTCAAATTTGATCCGGACGAACCCGGCGAAAATTCACTCTATTAAAATCTGTCGCACCGTAGACTGCCGACAGCAGAATTTCGTCAACCTGGTCTCGATCCAGTCTGCGTTTCAGACCTGTAAGCCTAGCCTTGTTCCCCGGGCGAGCCGGTCAGACTGTAGCAGGACTACAATTGGCGACATTCATGCCCGGTCGGCCTCTTGGTGGCACCACTTCACCGAGCACATTTACCCCCTCTGCTGAGCCCCGGTACATGCGTGCAAACCGGGCATGAGGATGTCGCTAAGCTTAAATCTGCTTTAGTCTGACTGACTCGCCCGGGGAGTAGGGCTTTGCTTACAGGTCTGAAACGCAGTGTCGGCAGTCTACGGTGCGGCTAAGTTTTAGTAGAGTGAAAATTCGCGCGCCCGCGCGGACCGCGTCCGGATCAAATTTGAGAGTTGTGCACTCGTAGGGTCTACCCTGTGAAAAGCAACTCACGAAGCCTATCGAACTGCATAAGTCACGGTTCTTTGTTTGTAACGCTACGGAGGCCCGTATTTGGGCCGTCGGAGCTTCGGCGCGGCCTAATCTACCAGTAGGACCGTAGTACAGCTATCGCGCAAGGCCCGGTCGATTATTAGTGCGAGTCGTCGGCCAAAGTTGAGGCTACGGGCCCCGTCCGAGGCTCGTAGCCTGGGTCTTCAGTGGGTTGCACTCAGTGTTCAGTGGAAACAAGGCCGTGAAATTCGCCGACCTCCACGGAAATTTTAAAATTCCGAGGGTTACCGATCGGTTTCGGGCCGCGGTTACTGGGCCACCACTCGAAATCAGCCTTCCCGACCGAATTTCAAAATATACCGGGCAGTTGACATACCATCCGAGTCCAGTGCGCCGCACTGCGTGCACCTGAGTACAGAGAAAAACCTTCATGAGTTTCGTTCGACAGGCACAATACA